GGGGGTGGGAGAGGAGCTGGAGAAGGGGAGAGAATTTGGAACTCAAAATTTTAAAAATTAAATGTCAAAAATTTTACATGTAATTGGGAAATATTTAATGAAAAAATATAGATTTTTTTTTTGAAAAAAGAATCATTGTACTATCTGAATGCCATGACCAAAAAAAAAGGCCTAGATAATCTATTTCAAAAAATCTTTAAAGAAAACTGCTCAAATCTCTTAGAACCAGAGGGCAAAGTGAACATAGAGAGAATATCACCAGTCACCTCCTAAAAGAATTCCAAAATGAAAACTCTCAGGAATATCACAGCAAAAATCCAGAGCTTCCAGGTCAAAGAAATAATACTGTGACTGCCCAGAAAAAAAGAATTTAAGCACCAAGGAGCCACGGTAAGAATCTCAGATGATTTAGCAGCCACCACTGTAAAGAACTGAATAGCTTAGAATACAATATTCCAAAAGGCAAAGGGAATAGACTTACAGTCATGAAAAACTTACCCAACAAAATGGACTATATTAATGCTTCAGGGGATAAAACAGAACTTTAACGAAATAAAGAACTTCCAGATATTCCTAATGAAAACACCAGAGCTATATAGGAACACTGAAGTTCAAACACAGGAATGAAGAGAAATGTAAAAAGGTAAATACAAAAAAACAATGATAACAATGAATAAGAAACTAAATAAGGATAAACTGCTTACATTCAAATACAGGTAAATGATACATGTGTCTCATCTGAACTCTATTATCAGGGGTCACAGAGGGAATCTACACCAGCCAAGGCCCGAGAGGGGTTGTTCTATCTTGATGAGCTTAAGAGATCTATAGAAAGAGAATAAGGGCAACTAGGTGGCGCGGTGGATAGAATGCTGGTCCTGGAGTCAGGAAGACTCATCTGAGTTCAAATCTGGCCTCAGGTATTTACTAGCTGTGTGACCTTGGGCAAGTCACTTAACCTTGGTTCCCTCAGTTTCTTCATTGGTAAAATAAGCTGCAGAAGACAAACCACTTAAGTATCTTTGCCACGAAAACCACAAATGGGATCATGAAGAGTTGGATATGGCTGAAAAATGACTAAACAAGAGAATAGAAGAGAAATGGACTGGAAATCGGGAAAATGGAAAGAAAGTTAGGGAAAATTATGTCACATAATTATTGTGTAGAAGTAGCTGACCCTATGGACCACAGCATGCCAACACTGTCCACAGGATTTTCTTGGCAAAAATATTGCAGTGTGCAGTGCATAGGGCACCGGCCCTGTAGTCAGGAAGACCTGAGTTCAATTCCAGCCTCAGACACTTGACATTTACTAGCTGTGTGAACCAAGGCAAGTCACTAAACTCCACTGCCTAGCCAAAACAAACAAAATAAACAAACAAAAAAAAAAACCTGTTAAGGGGCAGCTGGGTGGCACAGTGGCTAGAGCTCTGGCATTGGAGTCAGGAGGACCTGAGTTCACATCCAGCCTCAGATACTTGACACTGATTAGCTGTGTGACCCTGTCACTTAACCCCACCTCACCAAAAAGCAAAAAACAAAAAAAACAAAAAACAAAAAAAAACCCAAAAAACTGGAGTGGTCTGCAACTTCCTTCTCAGGTGGATTAAAGCAAATAGAGGTTAAGCAACTTGCCCAGGGTTACACAGCTAGTGAGTGTCTGAGGTAGGATTTGAACTCAGGTTTTTCTAACCAGGTGTAGTGTAATTAGCCACCTAAATGCCTCTGTGCAGAAGTATACAATTAAACAAACATGGAGACAAGGTGGGAGGGAGTAGCTGACACTGCAACTAAACTGATAAAAGGAAAGCATGTGCACATGTGCACGCACGCACGCGTGCACACACACACACACCCCATTCTCCACGACAGAGAAATAAATTTTACTCAATAGAAAAATAGGAGGGAAAAGGGAGAAGGGGAATTAGAGAGAAAGTAGATCAAGGGATGGATCAGTCCTAAGCAAAACAAATTCTAAGGACATATAAAAATAATTATAACTCTTTTTGAGGTGGCAAAAAATGGGAATCCAAAAGGATACCCATAAATTGGGGAATGGCTAAACAAGTTAATACAGAAAATGTGATGGAATACTATAGTGCTATAAGAAATGATGAGGGGGATAGGTTTCAAAGAAAACTGGCAAAGACTCATATGAATTGATGGAGAATGAAGTGAACAACACCAGCAGAAAAACTCATACAATGACAATATTATGAGGACAAAAAACTTTGAAAGAATTAGGAATTCTGATCAGTGTAATGACCAACAATGATTCTAAAGAACTAATGATGAAACTTGCTATGTATCTCCTGATTAAAGAGGTGAAGGACTCAATATATAGAATGAGACATGTGTATTTCTTTGGATATGGACAAAGCAGAAATTTGCTTTGACTATACATGTTTGTAAAAAAAGGTTTTGTTTTCCTTTTGTTTTGGGGGGAGGGTTAAAGGAGGAACGGAAGAATTTTTGCTGATTTAAAAAAAGAATTTTAAAATAATCTAAAAGCTAATAAGATAACATAATACAGTATTATAATAAATAATAATATAAGCTATGAATGACCTTTTAAAATACTACAGATTACATATGAGAAATTAGCATAAAAACTCTTAATTGGAAAAGATAACATCTTATCAGATTGGCAAATCCAAAATATCACAATTATAAGAGCTAAGTGGGGACAGCTACACTGGCACACTATGGGCAAAACTTTGAATTTGTTCAACCTACAGATTAGTACACTGCTATGCACAGAGCAGACACTTAACAAATGTATACTGATTGATATAAGGATTGGTAGAAGGAAGTGTGGAGGGGGAGGGGTGTTTAGCCTGGAGACGAGAAAGTTCAGGGGGAACATAACTGCGGTCTTCAGGTATGAAGGGCTGTGATATTACAGAGGGGTTAAACTTGTTCTGTTTGTACCCAAAGTATAGAACTAACAATAAGGGGTAGAAATTGCAAGATGCAGATTTAGACTTGGTATCAAGAAAAAGTTCCTACAATCACAGCCATGCACAAGTGGAATGGGAGGTACTGGGGGGAGGGTGTATGTGAAGGAGGTGCATGGAGTAGTAGGTTGCCTCTCCAGAGATCTTCAAGCAAAGGATGTATGACCACTTATTGATATATGATAATGGGATTTCTTTTTTTCAGGTACTAGCTGGATCAGATTTCTATTAAAGACTTTATCTAATTCCAAAATTCTATGATTCTGTGACATGACAGATATCACTACACATCTGAAAAGCCACAGTGCTGAGAAAAGAGTTTGACTTGTTTTATTTGGCTCTGGAGGGCAGAAATAGGAGACAATAATGAAAGTTGTAAAAAGGCAATATTTAGAATGGAAGTAAAGAAAACTGACCCCAACAATTAAAGCTGTCTAAAATTGGAATGACCTGCCCTGGCTTCCCCTCGGCCTCAGTCCTAGGAGGGCTTTAAAAAAAAGGGCACATGTTCACTTTGGGAGGATATTCCAGTGGACGTTCTTTCTTGAACATACTTTGAAACTCTGTGATTCTATGATCCCAGGGAACAAAATTTGACAGAAGAATCAGTAGAGAAGGTATGAGGACCTCATAAGAAATTGTGAAGACACAATGAGAACCAATTCTTAAGATTAAAGGAGGGGGTTTTGTGGAGAGTTCAATGAAGAGACAGAAGGAACTTACCAAACAATTCTGATTTTAAAAGACATATAAAAGATGGAAACAAGGGCATGTAACAGAGAATGAATACAAAAGCGAGGCATGGTCCTCAAAGAGCTCTATATCAGGAGCGATAATGCTCAGAATGAGTAGAAGCTCTCAAAGAAAGGAAAGAACAAAAAGAAGGTTTTAAAGTTATGATGGGGTAAAGAGGAGGATCAGAGAAAGACAAGCCTGCTGTTCAGGACTTAAAGAGTAATTATCAGGGCAGCTAGGTGGCGCAACGGATAGCGCACCAGCCCTGAAGTCAGGAGGACCTGAGTTCAAATCCAGCCTCAGACCAAACACTTGACACTTACTAGTTGTGTGACCCTAAGAAAGTCACTTAACCCCAATTGCCTAAAAAAAAAAAAAGAAAAAGAAAAAAAAAATCTTTGGGGCAGCTAGGCGGCGCAGTGGATATAGCACCGGCCTTGAAGTCAGGAGGACCCGAGTTCAAATCCGGCCTCAAATCAAACACCTGACACTTAACTAGCTGTGTGACCAAGGGCAAGTCACTTAACCCCAACTGCCTAAAAAAACAAACAAAAAAAGAGAGTAATTATCGTGGATGATGGACAAAATGTGGAGTTCCTCAATCTCTTATTTTGTTTCTGTATTTTCTGCTAAGGAGAATGCTTTCTAAGGTAAAAGAATGAAACAAAAATGGCTAAAAGGGAGTTGATAACCAAGCAAGGTAGGAAACTACCAGAGCAACTACCTCCCCTTATGAGTTCAAGTCACCAGGCACAGTTAAACTATCCACTCATGGTACTGAAAGAACTTGTGGATCTTCTTGCTGGGCAAAGAACAGATGACAAAAGAAATAATAGCAAAACCATTATCTGAGAGTATTAACACTTAATCAACTGGAATTGTTTTGTTATCTGTAACCTCAATTACCTTACAGCATGAGATAATAAGGCATTACTTTAACTTGTTAAGCAAATGGTGGGTGTTGCTAGAGTCTAAAACCTAAAGTATGAATATTTTTAAAGAGTTTTTAATGAAGCAGAAAAGGAGGTTGGTTTTTTTTTTATTAAGAAAATATATAAATGAAAAATAACAAAATGTACCTGAGAAAAATAAATATTTTAAGTATACATTTGAAGCACATATATGACCTTTTACTTCATTAAGTATACTTTTAAAGAACTGAAGAAAAAAAAACATTAAAAACCAAAGCATTTCAAAGAACAATCCATAAACTGACTTCAATAAGTAAAATAAATAAAAGTTAGTGAATATTTTAAATAGCAGTCAAAGACTAGGCGCTCAAAATTAGAAAGAACAAGATACATTTACCTGTCGAAAGATCTCTGTGACAAAATTAACATGGCTTCTTTTAGAAGAAAAGACTTTTCGTACTATTTCAATGTCTGTGAGATGCTCTTCATCAATACTACAGAGACTAGATGAACTTGGTTCTCTCTCTGTAAGGGTACTTGTATTAGAATGGGACTGTTCTGGCTCTGTAGTTCTTTCTGCTCTATCAGAACTGTCATTTTTGTTTTCTTCTCTAGAAGCCAAACCAGCAGCTGCCCTCTAAAATAAAAATTTGGGGAAAAAAAAGAGCATATTTGTTAATGTAGTTCAATAGACATTTTAATAAAAAACAACTGTGGGTAAGTCTCCTTTGCCTGGTACTGGGAATACAAGAGTTCGTGCCCTCAAGAAACTAACACTCTTCTAGAGGAAACAATGTAAGTTTACTTATCTGAGTAAAACATAATTTGAAGGAGGGAGAATGAACAAACTAGAGGGATCACGAAAAACTTCATGAAATAAGAAGCACCTGATACACCACTGGTGGAGTAGTGAACTGGTCCAACCATTCTGGAGAACAATTTGGAACTATGCCCAAAGGGCTATAAAATTGTGCATACCCCTTGACCCAGCAATACCACTATTAGGTCTGTATCCCAAAGAGATCAAAGAAAAAGGAAAAGGATCTCTATGTACAAAAATATTTGTAGTAGTTTTTTCTGTGGTGGCAAAGCATTGGAAAATGAGGGGATGTCCATCAACTAGGGAATGGCTGAACAAGTTGTGGTATATGACTGTGATGTAATATATTGTGCTGTAAGAAATGATGAGGAGGATGGCTTCAGAAAAATCTGGGAAGACTTATATGAACTCATGAAAAGTGGTGAGCAGAATCAGAAGAACACTGTACACAGTAACAGCAATACTGTAACAATGATCAACTGTGAAAGATTTAGTTACTCTAATCAATACAATGATCCATGACAATTCCAAAGAACTCATGATGAAAAAGGCTATCAAAAACTTCAAGAGAGGTCAAGAAGATCAGGGACTGAGGAAAAGGTAATTTGATTCATCATTTGTAAACCTGGAAAGAACAGTTTCAATGAAATTGTAGCTAGGCTGAGAAGCCTGTGAGGAGTTCAGAGGTGAGCTGGTGGAAAAGTAGAGGCAATAAATATGGATGGACTATTTTCTAGGAGTCTAGGTAAGAAAAGGAGACATTTAGCCGAGAAAAGGATTTCTACTTCTACCTCTGGGAGAAGGAACCAGAGGGAAAAACTGAAGACAAATAAGAAGGAAAGTGTGTTAGTAATTTGGAAACATGCTTGAATTAGTGAAGTAGGTTGGAATTTGAATGTGAGGAGAAATTTGAAGAATAATCTTCAGGCCTACAGACAGATATTCTGGTTTCTGTATCTGGATTAAAAGAGGAGCAGGATCATTGACAATTAAAGAGAATATAAAAGGATTAAGGAAGATAACTAAAGATTAGGGCCTATAATCTGAATAACCAGACACACGAAGGAGGAGAAAGTAATTAGCAAGACAAGACAATGAAAGTGAAACAACAGGAGGGTGAAGGATATTGATAAAGGGAACTGGAAGATGGGGCAAACTGGTGAAAGGTATGGGAGAATGATGCAAGGATGAAAGAATAATAGGTAATGTTGTGGCTGTGGATTTGTGGAGAAAACAGAAAAGGATCTTAGTAGGATAATTAATTTGCTTCATCCTAAAATTGTTCTTTGTCTTGTCTTGCCAGTTACCTTCTTTTTATCCTTCATCAGGTTCTACTTCCTAATTTCCTTTTATCCTCCTTAATCCTTTTATGTCCTCTTTGTCAGTGAACCTGATTCTCTTTAACTCAGATGAAAAAACTAGATGAAGAATATCAAGGTTGATCTTGGAGGAGAAAGTGAAAAGACTCTTGGACAAGAAAGCAAACACCGTTGGCCAGGGTTGTGTTTTCCTCACAGTTGCCCAGTGAAGGCAAGAAATGAAGAAAATAAAATCAATTAAGCGGAGAAGTGAATGGCAGGCTAAGAAGGTCTAAGTCTAATTCTAAGACTAAGTCTAAGAACGAGATCTAGATTTTTGGTGCACAGCATATCACAAAGAACTGACAGATGCCTGACCAGAGATGCAATATACCTAAGGATGATAAAACAGGTGTCTTGAAAATCCAATCAAAATGGCTTTTATTCTTAAACAGGGAGAAAGAGGAAAAACTGCATACACACACACACACACACACACACACACACACACACACACACACACACACACACACACACACACACCCACACCCTTATATTTATCCCAAGTTAGATACCATAGAGACTAGCTACAAAGAATGAAAGAGAATAGTAGCTGACACCCATAAATTTACAGGACACAAAATCCGAGAAAGAAGACAACACTAAAACCCATGGCCAAAAACATGACCAAAGTTTAGGCAATAAAAAAGATAAATCTGAGGTAATAATATAAATGGAACAAATCTGACCTCATGTATCACTGAATTTTGGTGAAATGAAACTAAAGATGAAACTTTAGATGTAGGTGGGTATACCTTATTCAAAATAAACACAACAGGTAAAAGGAGGGAAAGAATAGCACTGCATAGTCAGAAATTACACTCACGCGAGGAAATTCAAGAACCAGAGGGGACAATATGATGGAGAATATTTGGGTGATGACAAAAGGAGGGATAGAGATGATTTTGTCTTTGAAGTTTACTACAGACTACATGGACAGAAACAAGTAATAGATGGGGCGTGTGAGAAACATGAGCAAGTGAGGACAGAAGTATGATACAGTATGGGGCTTTAATTCTTCAGATATTTTCTGGAGCTGTTGATCTGCCAAAAGCCAGCTTCTTAACTTGCTTTAGTAATACTTCTTCCTTCAAAAGGTGGAGGAGACAAGGGAAAATTCAATTCATTTTAACCTTCTCACAAGGAGAAACTAGTTTTTTTGGTGGAAATGATAAAAACTTGGGGGTTCAGTGACTACTCCATCCTACAGACTATAGATAGAAAAATAATGAATTCTAGGCATAGTGAACCTTTCAAAGGGTTCAGAGAAAAAGTACTCTGCAAACAATGACCATTACACTGAAAATTCAGAACCACCAGACTAATATGGAGTTGATACCCAAGATAAGGAGAGAGCAAAAGTGGCCCTTGCAGAAGACATGTCATATGACACAAATGTGCTATATCTTTGGGTCTTGAAAGAATTAGCAGTTATAATTGTTCAACTGTCAGTGATATCTGAAAGATCACAGAGAAAGACAAATATCCTGATTTTTAAAGAACTGAAGAGAACAGAGTCTGCACATTATGAGCCATTGAGTTTGACTTCGATTCCTGAGAAAATTCTAGAACGAATCATTAAAGAGATGGTTGGCAAAAAGCGAAGCAGCGACTACAAAGAGTCAGCATGGTTTTATCAAAAATAGTTCATACCCAGTAACAAAATATGCTATGTATAAGGCTATGTATAGCCTTTTCCCGACAGAGACAGACAAAGGCTGCAGATATATTTTTTGGACATAGCGAAAGTGGGAATTTTTTTTTTTGCCTGACTTCACATATTTGTTGGTGGGAATCATGTGTATGAAGGAAAACAGTTACTTATTTACTGACATAAAAGCATGGAACAAAGAAAAGGAGAATGAAGAACACGGCAACGGGAATCAAGAGGCACAAGTTTAGTTTCTGATCTACCTGTAGTTAGGTAACTTTAACTTGTAATATCGGAATTGGGAAAATTCTTTAACCACTCTAAGACCTCAGTTTCTTCATCTATAAAATAAAAAGGTAGGACTACAGTGACCTCTAAGGCAGAGGAGGGGAACCTGAGGCTTTGAGGTCATACGTGGCCTTCTACGTCCTTAAATGCAGCTCTTTAACTGAATCCAAACTTCATAAAACCTTCGGTTTTGACAGAACAAATTCTTTTATTAAGGACTACTTCATGACTCTAGGTCAATCAAACTCTGGGCAGCTGAGTAACAATAAATTTTCCCTATATTATGCCTACCTGCTGATATCTAGGAACATGGTTTGAGTTGAAGTACTCCATTGAAAGATTGTTACTTGAGAAAACAGAAGGAGAATGGAGGAAAGCAATTTTTCTCAACATACTGAACTCCCATTCTGTCAGCAATCTCTACTGGAATGTGTGTCAAAATACATCATTATTGACAATTTTTATTATTTATGGGAAACAAGATATTTAATTTACAATTAAATGTTATTACAAACTAGGCCTGACTCAGGCCAGTCTCTTGATAGTTTCTGATACTGACAGGTCTGATATTGGCATGTCATGAGACAGTCATAGCCTTCAAGAGTCAACAAAAGGAGGTTTACTTAACTGTTAGAGAGGAACGACATTTAACAAGAATATTCCCTGAGAATACTCCTACTGTGCTCAGTTGAGCACAAGTTTCCCAATTCAACTTCAGAGAAGGAGCCAGAACTCTATGTAGTTTTTTGTCATGCAAATGATTGAGAAATCAAGTCATGAACCTGAGCTAGTCCCCAAAGCTAATCATATCTTTTCATTATCTCATAAGGAAATGAAGTAGCCTAACCAGCATGGACCCTCAGAAAAGATAGTTCAGTTTAAGAGGCAGTACCTTAAGGAAAAATTGCTCCTATCACAAATGTTTTGAAATATGATACAGATGTTACCTGAATATTCTTTGGCAAGATTTCACCTTCTATTCCAGGAATATGAGGTCCTGTATGAGGTTTTGGCTCAAGCCAGAAAGAAACCAGCCAACGAATGACAATAACACGAGCCTTGAGGAAAGGCTCCTTTGTGCAATAAATTGTTTCATTGGTTTCAACATCCTTCTTTATCATTATATAATGTGGCTTTGGTCTCATCTGTGGGATATCTATTCAAAAGAAAGAAGAAAAGATTAAACTAAGTATGAAAGAACCTTAGTACAAATAAACCTAAACATTCTTGTGTCTGTGACAGTATAATTTTAGAACTACTTCCCTGGGCTTAGTAAATAGTTTGTGTATAACTACAACTAGGCAGACGTCAGCGTGAAACCCCAAAAAGGGGCACAAGACGACTCTTCAGTACATACACAGAAATACATCTATTTACAGTCTGATTACTATTACAAGTATAAAGAATTCTTAGGGCAATGTTAAACCCAAGTGTCAATTTAAGCCAAAAAAGGGCTAACAGTAACACAAATGACAGTGTACCTAGACTTGTACTAAATGAACAAAATTTAAAGAACAGTGAGACATGTTTGTGAGTCATCTCATCCAAAATGTAATTCCTACTCGTTGCTTATCCAACTTGCCTAAAGTAAAGCTAATAGTTCGAATGGTTTTAAACAATTCTAAATGGCTTACCAAACTTAGGGACTGGAAGTTAGCAAGACAAACATAGGATTATGTCACATACAACGGATACTTTTAACAAGTGTTAATGTGTGAACAGTCCATTAGACATAGTCAAATGCAAAACTGCAGATCCAATTTAAGTCATCTCAAAATTTTGAATACTTTTAGTTCACATCCTTGGGAATTAAAAAAATTTTTTTGTAATAATCTTCATATTTTAACATGGATCAGGCTAAAATATTTGAATAAAATTTTATTAAAATCACAAATAAATCAAGAGGGTTCAGTCTCCTTATTTGTAAACGAAGTGTACTAGATGACTTCTGGTCACTTTCTCTAAAGCTATGATGCTATGATCTTATTTTCAAACTTAATGAGTCCTTACACACTTAAAAACTCTTCTTCATGACAATTCATCACTGATGAAGTCAAGATAAGTTAAATCAAGTTATTTAAAATGTCCATTACAAATCTAAGTATCATCTCTATCAATTTCTTTACATTAACATTTGTATTTCCATGAGTTTTCTGAAAGTAATACCCTTTATTTTTCCCTTGTGAGATTTTGTGTTCTTAGTCAGATTTTAGAATACTCAAAAGTATGCATACCAAGTGCAGGGTGATATAAGGTGTTCTCCTTGCAGATGTTTGGGAAAATATAAGGCAAGTAGTATTTTTTAAAGTGTGAAAACAAGAATGAAAATCCCTTTTCCTGATTTTCTTTGTTCTTCCATTCCAAACTCTTTACCTTTAAAAAAAAAAGTATCTAAATGAAATTTCAATACATGTATACCAATATGATAGAACCTAATGGTCTAAATCACTTTTCCTGAAAATTAGTTTAAAGTTTGATTGGAAAAAAAATTCAAAGAAAAATAGACATCTAAGTGAAAATTTTAAAACTGTTTCTAACATGACTATTAAATACAGAACTGCAATTACTAATTTTCATCATTTCTTTCAGGTATAAGAAAAAACTGGTCACAGTTTTGGTATCCGGAAGATCATTTAAAAAATAAAGATGCAAATATTTTGAGCTGAAATTTATCTTTCTATTTTCTATGGTAAAAGAAAATATACAAATCAAAAGAAAAATTTAAAAATGTTTAGTGAACATCAAACATTTACTACTTAAGCAACACTGAGAGAAATTATTTTTTCTATTATATTAATAACCCATTATTAATTAGAACCCAGACTTTTTATTTTTTCATTCAGGGACCAGCTCCTGTTGGTCAGGTCAGCTAGTTTCAGAAAGACAAAGTGGTAGATGAGATTGCCCAAATCCTTTGAGAACATGCTCCTCCATCTTGGGCTGGGTGGGAACCCACCCAACTAGGAGAACTTCCTTCTGTTTAAGAGTGTAAACAGAATCTAACCTAGGTGAATTCCACCCCCCAAGTTCTTGTGAACTCCTCTGGAGTTTAGGGTGACACAGCTCATAAAGAAGAAAACCAATAACCAGAGTGGTCTGGGTGGAGATGGAATCTTTGTCCAGATTGCCAGAGACCACGGAATTTCAAGATCAATCCATAGTCTCAGCAGAAACAGATAAAGACTTTTAGACCACCTCCTCATTTAAATGTCCACCAATCAGGGTTGATTTCTCTTGTCAGGAACATTCCCTCTCAAAAAAATATTTAAAGCATTCAGTATCTCTATTAGGTATCTTTGGTTACTGAAATAAACCACAGACCATCAATTATTGGTTATTAACTAGCCTAATTTCAAATTAGGCTCTCAGGCTTTTCATTCTGCCTCACCACTTTCTTTAACAGAAAAAATGACATTTGAATAAATTTAAATTGTTGAAGTATTCATAAAATTCCTTAAGACAAAGAGTATAGCTTATCTTTCTACCAATCTCAGTCAGCAGTGCTACTATATATAGTATCACAGACTAAGAAGGGTTTGTAGGTAGCAGGGAAGCAATTAGTAGGTAAAAAGATTGAAGACAGTCTAGGGATGACTGTGGTGACAGTCTGTGGGATGATACCAAGGATACATGTAGAAGGATATGTCTTGGCAAGGAGAAGAGCTACTTCTCTTGGTGAAAAGAGGGTTCAAGTAGACTACACCATTTGGTGCATATTTTTATTATTTACTTTCAAAGACTCAAAACTCTGACCAAAGCAGTGACTTCAAAAGACTGTTAAAGAAAAATACTTCTTTAGACAAAGAGTTCATAGATTAGAGATGTAAAATAAGGCACACATTTTCAAACAAGGTGTTGTTCTAATTATACACATGTGGTATAAAAGACGACTTTTAACAGAAATGGTGGGAGGTGGATGAGTGAATGGGTAGTGATAAATATGAAAAAATATTAGAACATTAATAAAATATTTTTTTAATGTACAGAAGAGAGCAGTACAGAAAGGGATATAAATAAAACCATTTTGTTGCTATACTGTTAAATTTAATATGTATATATTTAAATAAACTATATATAGCACCTCAGTTTCTTACAGAAATTTCATTCTTAATACATTTGTGGTTTTGATTAATAAGTTCATGATAAAAAATAATTTAGAAACTGATAATTTCATTGTATATGATATGTTTATGTGTAATACAGGTTCCTTACTTTTCTTAACCATAGATTTTACTGATCCATTCTCTAGGTTCTCGACTGTCACTGTACTTTTTGAATTCAAATAAGTCACAATAGATTCTACTCCAACCCCTCATTTTGAGACTATATAATACCTTATAAGAAACACACTTAAAAAACAAATTGCTGAGTTTTGCTTTTTTGATCTATTCTGCCACTGCCCTTGTAGTAAAGTTCATCCAATTCACATTTACTGTTACAATTCTTAGCTCTGTTTTCCCCTCAATTATATCTCATTGTAATAGTTCCTCTCCTTACCTTCTCCTTCCATTTAATTTAAGAAGAAAAAGAAAAGGGGGGAAGGGAAAAAGGAAGTGAAGTTATAGAGTTTGTTATCTGTTAATCCCAGCTCTCTTCCCTCACCCTCTTTTCCCAGCCCAGATCTATCTGCACATCATCAAGCCTTACTGGGCCCTCTCTCTTTCCTCTTTTATAAAAACTCAGCCCTCCTTAACTGAATTTTGTTTTGCTCATGACTGTTCTCTCCCCAAATCTGCCCTCTCCATTGATACTCTCTGCACTATCTCTGTCTTAGCTAAGTCTTTTATTGTATTTCTATACTATATTCTTTTGTTCTTCCTCCTTCCTTTACATGGTTCAAGTGAGGGTCATAAAAACCCCATTTCCCTTTCCATCATTTCCATGAATGAATGATCTTGTGGCACTCTAATATTAAAAACAGTAAATTGTTCCCTCCTCCCTTTATCCCTAGGACACCTCCTTCATCCCCGTCCCCTTTTCACTTTCTTCTCTTTTTTAAAAACCCTAATAGCTCACTTCTCAATACGTTATACTCTGGCTTCTGCCCCATCTACTCTACTGAAACTGTTCTTTCTACATTCACCATTGCTCTCTAATTTAATTTGTTTTCTTTCTTATTATTATGAACTTAAAAACCTTCAACAATTATGAACATTTCTCCACATAAAAAAAGAGAAAAAGAGAAAAAAAAAGTAAAATAGTCCTGCATATAAAACTGCAAGTATCTGATATCTATAGGTTCTTTTTTTGTTTAAATTATATAAACAAAGACAACACCTCAGTTCCAAATCTGTCTTATGTCTCTCTTTGAACTTACTGCCTTTTTCCTTTGTTCTTCTTCTATGCATTTTTTATAATTTCATTAACATTCTTTTCTTTTTTTAAGTTATCATTATCACTAGTCTACATTTTTCCCCTCCTGCTCTCCCCACTTCCCCACCCAAAAAACCCCTACCCTTGTAACAAATAAGCATAATCAAGTGAAACAAATCAACATATCTGCCATGTCTTAAAATATATACTTCATACTTATCTATCATATCTCTATCAAGAAGCAGGAATTAGGTTTCATCATTGGTTTCTTACAGTCATGGGCTGGTCACTGCACTGTTATTCTAAGTTGCTTTCCTTTGCAATGTTAGTCACTGCATGAACTGTTCTGGTTTTGCTCATTTCACTCTTCGTCAGTTCATATAAGTCCTCCCAGGTCTCTCTGAATCTGGCCTTTTCATCATTACATTCATAGTAATGATATTCCAATAGATTTATATCACTTCTCACCTGGACTACTGAATTGGTTTCCTTACTCAGTCTCTCTCCTCTTCAAATTATTTTCCATACACCAGCCAAATATACTTTCTAACATCCAAGACTGACCATGTTACTCCCTTAACTCAAAAACCATTAGTGGCGACCCACTCTCTCTAGGATAAAATATAAATCCCTCAGCCTATTATTTAAAGTTCCCTACAGCCTGGTTCCAAGATATCTTTCTAGTTTTATTTCAGATTACTCTCACCAAAATGAGACTACTGATTTTTTCCTTGCACTTGACATTTCATCTCCTACCTATATTCATTTACATAAATTATACATCTCTCTCTCTCTCTCCATCTCCAGCTTTTAAGAATCTTTATTCTTCAAGGCTTGGCTCAGGTGCCACCTCCTCCATGAAGCTTTCTTTGCTCTCTCTCTCATTCACTCTGGCTCTTAATTGTTATGCTCCACAATTGTCATTCCACAAATTATCTTGCAGAATTATTTTAAGAACAAATGTACCCACACAAGACAGTAAAAGGGAGAATAAAGGTTTAAAAAGATAAAATGTACCTGAATAACCATATATTTCAAAAGTGCTTCTAGAAAATAACTTGTGAGGTCTTCTTGTCCTTTATCTCCTGATTGTGGAGGGACAAGAGGAGTGATTTCTTCTATAGTCACTTGGGCTACACAAAAATAAAAGAAGAGTTTAGCAGTCATCAAATAATTTTTCATAACCGAAGATATAAGAAAAAAATCTTATTTCCAAAATAAGTATTCAATGAACAGAAGTTTCCAAATCATCTGCTATCCTAAAATTACAGCATGACTCAACTCTAAATAACTTAATGTAAAGACAAAAAGTCTACTTAAGATCTCATTGATTTTAAATATTTTTCCAAGAAAGAAAATCCAAATACTACATATTTGACTGGTTTTGGATGTTTTCCTTTATATTCACTAAGCAATATGGTATAATGGAAGAAATTGGACTTGGATTTAGGAGACCCGAGTTCAGGTTTCAGCTGTGACTTTTACTAGTAGTGGTATATTTAATAAATCATTTAATGTCTACTATAATTCTGAGTTTCCTGATATGTAAAACATGGAATAATAATACTTTCACAATCTAACTCACAGATTTATGGTAAGGAAACAGTATGTAATTATATATATATATATGTATATACACACATATATATGCTATAATTATTGTTATCCTGAAGATATTCTGGTGAATGGTTCTCCAACTTTTTGATTCTCAGGAACACTTTACATTCTAAAAAGTTACTGAGTACCCCACAAAAAGCTTTTGTTTATGTTGGCTATATCTATGTTTACCATATTTCTCCCTAGTCTAGGATTCAGGATCCCAGATTTTGAGCTGCAAGGGACCTTGGCAGTCATCTAATCCAAACTCCTAGGACATCATATAAGAAACTGAAGCCCGGAGAGATAAGTGATTTGTCCAAAGGTCACACAGGTGACAGAGCAAGAACATCAATCCAGGTACATTTGTTTCTAAGTTCAGTGCTCTTTCCACAACATCACAATTTGGGTATAAGCCAGTTAGAGTTAGACACGGCAATCTGAAGGAAAATGCCCATTTCTTTTCTTTCTTTTTTTTTTTGGTTAGGCAATGGTTAAGTGACTTGCCCAGGGTCACAAGGCTAGTAAGTGTTATGTGTCTAAGACCACGTTTGAACTCAGGTCCTCCTGAATCCAGGGCTGGTGCTCTACCCACTGCCCCAAAATGCCCATTTCTTAGAGGAAAAAAATGATAGCCGAATAAAACTCTGAGAGTTGAAAAAAAAAATTTGTAAAACCAGAGTCCTAAAAGACCAGTTAAAAGTTTTACCAATTCAACAAGGGGTAATAATAAGTAACTAATAAGAGACACTGAAACAGAATTTTGAACCAGCATCAACTTCAGTTAAAATGTTGAAAAGGAAGGAGTCTCATCTTGAGTAAGCATGATTGAATTTTTTAAAAATTAATTTAATCCAGATTTTGTTATTTTTTTCTCATTTTTTAAAAATTCAATCATGCTTACTTAAGATGAGACTATTACAAATGCTGACGTGTTCTATTTCCCATTACAAATCAAAGTTAGGAAATTGAAATTAGCACCTCTATTGAATACTACTACTGTTGAATAAAGAGGTTGTATTTTCCTTATCAAATACATCCAACAGAGATTTAAAATGTTCTAACAATTTAGCCGTAGAATTAAAATGTATCACCATGTAAGCAGTCTAACCTATTTCTAAAGAGTTGTAAATGGCATTTACCCAAATATAAAGAACTCATTATTATTTACAAGTCACCTAACTAGATTGGTACTTAAGGACCACAAATTTCAATCTTTTAAAACACGAGTTGTATGTTAAACATTTCAGTGTCTTTGTGAGGCATAGAAAGAGAAGAAGATAATTTCAGGTAATCTGGTAAAGCAATTATTGTGATCCTTGTGAAGAAAGCAGTTATATATACATGTTAATAATTATAGAAAAATACAGTATTTTAATTAAAAACATATTTTCATTTCCTCTCTTAAGAATTTTACACCACAAATATATTTTGATTTTTAAAACACATAAACATATGAAAAACTCTAAACATAAACCATATAAAAAGGAGGGGAAGTAACTCATATGATTAAAAAAAAACACCCAGAGTTTTCTCTGAATTGAAAGGGAAGAAGGTATTAAAAGGAAATCATGTAGAGATAGAAATTTACAGTATGAAGAATAACAACTAAACAACCAAAGCAATCAGAAATAAAAACAAAGCATTTATGAAAGTATAATGAAAGTAAAATGGAAAATACCTGATTTACCAAAATAATAATAATAATAATAAATAATACATTTCCTTTTCTTTTATACATGTCCTCCATAAAGCAAACACTACTTAAAAAATATATCTGTACATATCCAAATGAACAAAAAGGTAAGTATAAAAAAGGAAAATTACAGAAGCGTTAAATCGGATTTGGAATGCTTACTAAATTTTAAAACACAACACAAAAGAACATGCTGTTAATTAATGTCCTATAGTCTTACTTTCTTGAAGGTTAAGTGGGGGATTAATGAGATTATCTAAAGTCCGAGGTCCATATTCAGACAGTGGTGAGGCAAATCCAGGAACTAAGCAAGAAAATATCCAGAGCTGTTCTTTACTGCAGTTATTCTGAAGAGCTTGTAACCATAGCAAGAAGAGACGGACACCTTCACGCCTGATCTGAAAACACAAAACAATTAAATACAACATAGAATTTTCACCCAAACAGAAATAGAAGGATATGGAAGATCTTTTTTTCTTTTGAGATCAAAGTTCTCTAAGAAATAAAAAAATGAGTATTTGCCAAAAATCATAACTGTCACCACACTAAATCCAGAAGTATATATTTCATTTTACCAAAACCTGAGTCTATTAACTAATAAGGCAAGAGGCTTAATTTATTTCTATTGCCCCAAGATAAAAATGATGAAAATCCTTTCAAGTAATGAGATAATTCCATAGCAACCAATTCCAGGGGAGGTTCTAAGTTCTTACCACTATAACCAGAGCTATGACAGCAAAAAGCCATATCTTTCTTTTCTCTCTCCCTCTCATCATGACTGAGCCAGGGAGCAATAATGTCAAGAAAAACACTGGTTTCTTAGTAGAAAATAGAAATATAGAAAAGACAAAATCAGATGAAAAGGAAATTTTCTCTGGTAACCAGAACATTCTCACTAGTGCTTTTTGTACATAGTAGATACTTAATATGTGCTGAACTCAATCAGGTTCTTTCCTACCTAGGCACTGTAACTCAACTATTACCACAGCTTCATTTGCTATCAGAAATAGTATTATAATTAGAAAGTATGCAGAAGTTGGAGAAAGGAAAAGCTAGATTCAAATTCTAACTCAGATACTTACTAGGTGAAGTTATCTCACCTCTCCAAGCCTCAGTTTATTTTTCATCCATAATGTGTGAATAATAATATTTATAGTACCTCCTTCATAGCGTTGTATCAAATAAGTTATGTTTGGTAACCTTTGCAAGCCTTAAACAGCTACATAAATGGCAGTTACTATTATTATTGTTGTTATTATTACCACCTCTACCATGACTTAGTTGATAACAAAAAGGTGATGAAGGAGGTCCTATATTTCCATTGCAGTTAACTCTAGGTCAGTGCAACTGGAAGTATAACCACAAGCTATTAACTGAAATCACCTTCTCCACAACAAGTGGGTAGCTTCCATAAACAAAGCACAAAACTAAGTGGCAAATCAGAAAAGTGAAAACTAGTACAGTGCTGTTACTGCCATTTATATTTCAGAGGGGCTGTAGTGAGAGTAGAAAAGCAACAATTTCATTGTTTTTGTTGTTACTAAAAAATATTTTCCCTCTAGACAAGGTCCAGAATGGAGTCTTCTATCTTTAATAGGGCACTGTAGTTCCAGATTACAAATGCGTTTAAGGGACTTGGCATCTTAAGGGAAAAAAAAGTAGCACCCAAGTACTGAAGAAAATTCTGCCCCATTTTAAAATATAATCATAACCCCAAAAAAGACAATTCAGCACCCTTTAAGAAAGAGAAGAAAAACTAAAGGAAAAGAGAATAAAGTAGGAGACACATGTCTGTTTCACATTTTCTCACACCAGAATAAAATATGATTCCAGGTATATCCTAAAAAGCCAGAAGAGTATTTTGCATAGAAAAACACAAATGTACATCTCTTCTGTCACAATGTAAATCTGAAAAAGTTTTGAAAAGCCATTCTACTAAAAGAAATATATTTTATATACCTTTAAGGAGTTTCCTGTGTGAAGGAGTTTCTTTAAAATCAATCCTGCAAAGAGAACATTCATTTAAATACTTATTTTTTCATGTGATTTGATAGCCACCCTAAAATTCCTCATCCACTTTCCCTACTGCCTTTACTTATTGCCATTTCTATCCTACGAAACTTCAACTTAGGGTAACCCCCATCATTCAGTATTTCCACTCCTATGCCTGTGATTTTAACCACTATACACCTATGCTAAGAAAAGCAATATGTTGTAGTAAACAACTGGACTCAAAGCCAGGAAAATCCAGGCTCAAGCCTCCCCTGTGACTCATACTGGCTGTGTGACACTGGATCAGTCACTTAATCTCCCAATGCAGAAGACTAGCAGTTCTTAAACTTTTAGGTCTTAGGACCACATTTACACTCTTGGAAATGACTGAGGCCCCATAAAGAACTTTTATTTATGTGGGTAATAGTTACAGATTTTTTTTTACCATATTGGAAATTAAAACATCTTAGTGTTATTATGAAAAGTTTTGACCTTGAAGACCCCCAAAAGGTTCTCAGAAATCCAAGGTCCCTGGACCAGATTTTGAGAACCACTGTACTAGGCAACTTCTTAAGATTGTAAGTTACAGAGAAGGTCCTGATTTGAACTGGTAGAAGGAACTTCTTTTCACCTAAAGAAGTCCCTAAACCTATGAAAAAACAGATCTGGTCACGATCTCTTCAGTTGTGAAGAAATGTAACCTCTGCTGGGCCATTCCTGTACTTTTTCTCCTCTCTTTAAATCTCCAACCACCCTTCCTCCACTAAATTTTTATTTCACTGAGTTCAAGGACATCCTACATTAATATCCTTTAATATTCTCTTTTGTGACTTAACACTGCAGTGGTGTCTGAACTCATAATTAGTATGGAAAGAGTGCTGCACTTGGAATCCAAAAGACCTGGATTCAAATATTCTCTTATGCTAATTGTGTGATTCTAGAAAAGTCATTTAACCTTCTCAAAGCCTCACTTTGCTCATCTATAAAATGGTGATACAAATTGTAGTGCCTGGTTCACAAGGCTATCATGAAGCTTAAATGAAAAAATGTTGAAGTGCTTTGAAAATGTCAGTTATTACTCTTCTCCCAAGAGGAAAAAAAAATGTTTGCCAAGAAAAAAATCCCTCTACTTATGCACCTGAACCTTCCTTTCCACCTCCTACAAGACAATGTTATTTCAATTATCTCCTCTCACACATCTTCAACAAGTCTAAAACATAACTCATATTTTGCTACAAATCCATTTGTCCTGCAAACTTCTCTATTTCTTTTAAGAACATCAAGGATTATCATTCTAGGAACCCAGATTTGCAATCTCAGAGTCATCCTTGACTCTTACTTCCTTTTATGTTACCCCAAGTTTTGCTCATGCCAATTTACATCTCTTGTATCCATCCTCCTCTCACAATGCCTTTTACCTAGACTAACAGCCTTCAATTTGTTCTTCATAATTACAGTCTCTCCCCTCTCCAATCTGCTAAACAGATACTCCTAAAACAATGATCTGACCAGGACACTCTACTACTCAACTATCTTCAATGGCTCCCTATTGCCACAAGTATATAATACAAACTCCTCAGACTGACTCCACAAGCTCATTCCCACCTTCTTTTTAGTAATATCTCATTTCACTCTCCTTGACACACTCACCATTCCAGTCACTGTTGAACACAGCATGCCATTTTGCCTCTGTGTCTTTGAATAAGCTTCTACCCTGCACTCTCTATTAGAATCCTTAGCTTCTGTCAAAGCATAGTCCAGGTGCCACTTCCAACATGAGGCCTTTCCTAATTACCTCACCAATTACTGCTCTCTGCTCTTTTATATTACACTGTATACATTTTGCACAAATGTGTACATGCTGTATCCTCCCAATAACAAGTAAACTTTTCAGAGCAGAGGATATTGTTTTCATCTTTCTCAGATAAGCAAAGCATCATGAACATAAAATTAATGTTTGTTGAATTTGACGTAATCACTCCCTTTTCTGATGGCTTCCCTTCTATCTGCCCATATGTCTTCCCAGTGCTAAAAAAGTTTTCTTAGACCCTTCTACACCCTTGAGCTAATATTCCATATCTTTCCTCTCTTTCATCATCAAACTTATTTTTTAAAAATGGTTTTATTGCCTCACTACCCATTCACTTGTCAAATCCTTGCATTACCTGGCTTCTGCTGCAATGATTCCATTCACATTTCTCTCTCAAAGGTTATTACTTTAACTACAAAATCTAATGGCCTTTCCTCAAAACCACATTCTCCCTGACCTATCTGCAGGATGTCCCCTCCTTCTTGATACTTTCTCTTCCTTTGGCTTCCTTGATATCAAATTCTCCTATTCTCCCTTCTCTAATAACTCATTCTATATTTCGTTTATAGGTTCTTTTCTTCAATGCTGATTTTTCCCAAAGTTGTATTCTTGATTCTCTTTTATTTTTTCTCTTCAGTTTATTTTTTGAAACTCTGAGTCTGAGTGAGTGTGAATTTGTTACACTGACCTCAACTATCACCTCTAGAAACACAAGCACCAAATTTCCATTTTCTCATCTTTAGGTTCTAAACCAATCAATTAACAAACTTACTTCATAGTATGATATGGAGCTAAATGCTGGAGATAAAAAGAAAAAGCAAAAACAGTCCCTGCCCTCAAGACTCTTATATTAGGGAAGACAACAGGTAAATAAATAGATACATACACAAAATAGATGTAAAGTTAGCCTTAGAGGAAAAGGAACTAGTGGATGAGAACAGGAAAGCCCTCCTGCTAAAGATGGCATTGAGCTGGGTCTTGAAGGAAGCTAAGGATCCTAAGTGGTAATGGTTAGGAAGGAAAGCATTTCAGGCGTAGGGACTGGCCAGTGCAAAGGCACAGAGAAGGAAATAGAGTATTGCATGTGAGGAATGGCAAGTACATCAATATAGCTAGCCTTGTAAACTTATGTTTCTAACTAACTACTTAAATAACTCTACCACATCTCAAAACAAAATAAAGTATTTTGCAAAGGCTGTCCTCCATGTGGAATTCAATTTCCTAGCTTCAAAGCTTAAATCAAGTTTAACTTGATTTACCTATAAGCCCCAAGTGCTGGCATCTCCCCTCCCCCTAAAAAATTACCTTGTATTTACTTTGCATATTTTTTTATTTTTATATGTTGTTTTCCCCAAAAGAATGTAAACTCCTTGAGGGCAGGAACTGCTTTTTTTTTTAAAAAATCTGTAACCCCAGAGATTAGCACAGTACCTCTCACATAGTAGGTATTTAATAAATGTTTATTGACATTTATGTTCAAATGTGTTCATGAGGCCATAGATGTAATATATACCTCCCAAAAGGTTCAAACTATAATCTAGCCATACCTTATCCTATGCAACCCAAGTTCATATGCTCCAATAAATTTTTCATGGGGAGGTCTACTCATCATACTGAAGGCCTACTTCCAGGCTTTTCACAATTATGTGGTTACCAGGATAGCACTCAACTTGTCCATCTGTTATCCTATCTCCCCAACATAACTGATGTACTTTTTGTTACAAGCATACTTCTATATTTTAAGCCATTCCTTGCACATATAATTTGGATAATATGCTGTAGCCTATGTCATTCCATTGCCCTTTGGGTTCCTCTGAATTTTGATTCTTTGAAGAGTGCAAAATTCCATATAACTTCTTAGAAGTTTTTGTTTTGGAAAACTTGGGATTAAAGTGCTATATGATTTCTCATATGCAATCTAGTCAACTCCCGCTCTTCTATTCCATTTCAGATGCAACTGATAGTCCTCTGCAGTATCTGAAATTTATATAATTACAGACCACCAACATCCACTGAGTGGATATGAGGGTATCCACTCAACTACATAGAACAATCTGGACAATAAAAATTCTTCATCACTTGGTTTTTCCTATGTAGATTCTTAGGCTATTTTTGGGGGGACGGACAAATCATAGATCTCATTTGGAAGGCTCTGCACTATTCCAGGGCTTGATGTAGTCAGCAGCACAGTGTCATCTACAAACAAGATCATCTGGAGGCCCTCACCATATACTAGGAATCCTTCTTCAACTTGGACTCAGCCCTGGATCTCCTCTTCATAACAGTGGCAGACAACTTTAATGAGCATATACTTTCCCAGCTCACTTCCTTGTTTGATATTCATTATCAAAGGATTTTTAACAAATTCATCTTTTGAAAACCCTAAAAACTCTACTGTTTACTGAGTAAAACACCACTTAACTTGGTATTAAAAGCCTAACACACAATCTGGTACCAGCCTAAATTTCTAGTCCCACGTCTTACTACCTTCCAACCATAATCCAGGCAAATTCTGCTACTTCCCACTCCCCATTCATGCACTAAATTTTTCTTCCTTTGTTTACATGTTTCTCTATGTCTATGTCTCTTTACTTTTCTGTATCTGATGAAAAACTTCCCAATTTTCAAGATTCAGTTCAAAAGCCATTTTCTTCAAGAAGCACAGTATGGTGCAGTAAATAAGCACTAGATTTTACAGGAGGCAGGGATTTGCAGACTTTACGTGAAAAGAGCAGGTATATAGTTTTAGCTATTCATCTTCAGATGAAGGAGGCCCATCTATGACAACTGCCTAGAGGCCTAAAAACACTCCAGGTAGCACACCCAAAGGCAGCCCTAAATAAAAGGGACTGACCTAATTTGCTCATTAAAGCTTCTATCCAGATTGAGCCAGTAATGCTGGAAGGATCCTATAAAAGCAGTCATTTTGCAGAGTTTGGGGGGAGTTTCCCTTTGCTGTGGGAAACACGAGCTCCCACTTTAATCTAATACATTGAACAAGAGTTTTGTTTTTTGTTTTTTTGTTATTGTGGCTCTCATAGTCCTGGTGTTCCCACAATTCAAATCCAGACTCCTGGTGACATAAACTTGGTTACTCCACCTTTCTGAGTCTCATTTTCCTGACCAGTAAATTAGAACTAATAATCCTTGAACTATTGTGAGGAAAGCACTTCGTAAAATTTAAAGTACTCTGTAAATGTGAGCTATTACTCCCATATCAGAAGTGAAAGCTCCTTCCCTCCTAAAATCTCACAAAGCACTTCATTTACACCTTTATTTTACCTTCTTGTTTCGTGATTAGAAGAAACCCTTAATTCCCTCAGGCAATCCACTAAGATTTGCAAAACAGGTACTGATCTGATTTGGTCTAAAGGATTTTCTTACCAGCAGGTACCTACAACGATTAAGTTGCAGGTCAGAAGAAAAAAATAAATTAAAAAATATACATGTATATACGTATATATAACTATTGTTACTTATCTTCCTACTAAACTAGCAGCTCCATAAGGGCAAGGATCTCCTTTTACATTTACCGTACCTCCAACTGTGATCTGATAATAGTAAGTATTTCTGTGAACTGAATTATTTAATTCTAAATGTCAGAGTTCTCGGTCAGACTTGATAAAAACCTTTTAACAAGTCCTTGGCAACCTCCAACTTAATTTTGGTGAACCTGATTTCCTTTTGGCAATAATCTTGGTGCCAGAAGGCAGTGAGAAAGATCACCTTCTATGATTTAAGCTAAAAAAAATATATATAGAAAGACCATAACTGTAAATAGAACATCACATATATTCTATTATTTCCCCTTGCTTTAGATTTAAAATGGAATGAAAGAAAACTTTCCCAATTAATCAACTGAAAAGTTCAGTAAAGAATTTTTTTTACCTTTCCCAAGGTCCTGAAATTAGTTTTCTGTACTTCTTTACAAAAATTAAACTTAAAATATCTACTTTCAATTCATTTTTTTAATTTTTTTAATTACATTTTATTTTTTTCAATCAGCAAAGATCATCCCTTTCCTCTGCCCATTCTCCCCTCCACCCCAGATGGAGAACAAAAGAAAAACAATACCCCTATTACAAACATGTATCACAAAGCAAAACAAATTTCTATGTCAGCCGTGTGCAAAAGCAAACTAAATAATTGACCTTCCTAGTGTATTCTGTTCCCCTTTCCTTTCCCTTTATTTTTTTTTTTGAGCCCATCAGGGTTAAATGAAAAAACCTTCAAACTCTTCCTTTACACCTTCATATTTAACCCCCCTTTTTTTTTGCAGCAAGCAAAATATCACCCCTCTTCTTTATACCTTGCCAAACAAAATCTGTGAAAAAGTTTTAAACAAGCTACCAAGAAACATAAAGTATTAGATAGCCTTTTTTTTTTTTTAATCAGTATTTGAAATCTAAGAGTTGCAATTTAGGTCACTTACCAATACTGTGAAACTGCCATCGCTGATGAATCCTTTCTGGAAGAAGTTGTAAAATTTTCTAAAAGTCAGTAAAGAGAAAGCAAACTAATAAATGATATGAAAGAGATATGCCTGAAATCTTGTAAAATGAAAAACAAATCACAAATATTAAGACCTTAGAGCTCCTTGCGTGAAAAATATGACACAAATAAAAAAATAAAATAAGCATTCAAGTTAATCTGCTATTACTTGGCACTTTTTTTAACACTGGTAACTTACATAGTACTGGAAAGGTCCCATAATATAGCAAATAAGTCTAGGAAAGACTTGAGTCAAGACAATATAATTTAGGAAATTAGAAATACTTCTATCAATTTTTTAAAAGGATAAAATTCTCCTTCTGACCTTCCCATCCCAATCCTTTCCTCCTTGAGAATTAAAGAAAACCAAAACATGTTACAGACATTAAATCAAAATAAATTTCTACAATGGCCATGTCCAAAAAGAATTTTTTTTATCATTCTGCTTTCTATGAGCTTCATCTCTCTATCAAGATTGATATGTTTCATCATTATTCCACTGCAATACTGGTTAGTAATTAGAGTAATAAGTGTTCCTAAGTCTTTCAAAACTGTTTGTCTTTAAGATATTGTCATTTTTTATAAATTGTTCTCCTGGTTCTATTCACTTCACTTGGTGAAGTTCATATGTTTTCCCAGGCTTCTCTGAAACCATCTCCTTTATTTTTTTTCTAAATTAAATATATTTTTTATTTTCCATTCTGAATTCTCTCCCACCACCCTCTCCTTTCCTCAGTCACTGAATTACAAATATGTATAATCATGGAAAACAAATTCCCACATGAGCCACGTGAAAAGGAGAAAAAAGGGGAGGGGAAAGGGAGAGGACAAGGCTGAGTACATAATTTGAGGGTGTTCACCCTTAGAGGAAGCAAGAGGAAGGGGAGGGTAACCCTGCAGGCTGAACTAGATGCTGGAACTGAGATCTTACCCTGCTCCTGGCATCTGATCCATACTATTCCTGCTGAACTTTCTGCTTAAGCCTAAGTACTCTTTCCAAGTTAAGTAAACTTGTTTTTTGTTAACTATTATGAGTATTTCGTTTTCTTCAATTTTCATTCCCGGGCTATCATCCCAGGCTGAACAGGCCTTACACTTAGCAATAATCAAAGGACCAGAATGAAATAAATGGCACTGTGGCTCACATCATGGCCTAAGAAGGGGAAAGCCGCTGCAAATATAGAGGATAGAATAATCAGATATAGTAGCAAGACACTTTCTGAAAAGAGTTCTGTTGAAATGAAAATGAGTGTGAGGACAAGAGTAAGGAATTGTCACTGGTGATAAGAAAGCCTCAAACTTATCATATTACTATTTAATGGAACCTGATTTCCTCCAAAAGGGATACCCACTGTTGACATGATTGAACCTGCTCCTGCCACTACTTTTGCTACTTGAATGCTATCACTGTCCCAGGCCACTGGTGAATTGAGCATTTATTTACACTGCAGTAGACTCTCAGCATTCCAGGTCTCATATCATGGACTCCAACATTTTTGGCAATGAGCATTATGATGTTCTCCATGGCATGCAAAATATCCTGTAACACTATTAAGTCATTCCTGAACATCATTGCTATCCTTGGTACGGACAAGTTGTCTGAAGAAAATAAGTTAAAGGTGCCTCATGCCTGGAAACTCTAGTGTTCTTGTCATATAGGGAAGCTGATACTCCTGAAATAAATCATCAAGGGACTCCAACAGATCTTGGCAGTTCAGTATAACTGTCTTCCAAAGCAGGCCTTCTACATGTCAGGACCTACAAAAGAAGCTGTAAGGCTGAAGATCATTCATGAAGAGTCACCCTCATCTGCCAAAATGCCATCCTCCTGCACAACCTATTCTCAATTATATGAGAACGCTATGCAAGAACTTTCATCAGAAAAGCTATGTACTCTCTAAATATTTAAACTTCCTAATAAAATAGAGAACTTAAAAAAGAAAAGCAGTTGCTAATATCTTGTAACTGAGTCCTAGTTACTAATGAATACATGATATAAGGGTCATAAATCACTCTTCGTCCAGAGTTGCGTATTAGGAATTGAGGGAAGTAAAATGATCCCTCTAATAAGCTGGTAGGGTATAAGCCTTTATTATTAAATGCAAACCATACTTTCAAGATTGAGCTCTCCCAGATCCTTCAGGAGTCAGCACCCTTCACAAACTGATTATCATTCTTTCAAAATCTGAAGCATCCAGTCACAGCCTCAATATCCAGATTTCTTTCCAAGTCCAAAGAGCCCCTACCCACAAGATTCAACGGAATAACCAAATGGATGGCCTTATGAGAACAGAAGAGGTTGAGACACGAGCCATCACCAATCTAGATGTAAGGACCATGACGCTATTTTGCAGTGGGGACAGAAGCACATCCCTCTTAGGATAAGGCAGCTCTCTTTATGGCAAATGGAGTGTGAGTGCTCACTTAATAAAAGGCAAACATGATGTGATCTGGAATGGTTCCTAACCTGCTTCCAACTAACAAAACTGATTATGCTGGCTCCCTTGTCAGGGAAAGAGGTCTTCCCTTACTGTAACCGACACTTATTCAGAAAATGGCATTGCTCTTTCTGATGGGATACTCTTCTAATACTGATAAGGGAACCCATTTTACTGTCATAAAAGTCCAAGATTTGGCCCACCAACAGTACATCCACAGTTTTCTACCTCCTATACCCCCTCAGGCATCTAGAACTATTGAATGATGGAACAGGTTCTTGAAAAAACAGCTTCATCATAATGCTTCAGTCTATTGTTGTTGGATGTCCCACCTCATAGAAGCCCTCCTCTTTGATAAATCAACACCATCCTAGAAGGAGGAAGACTCAGTTTCTTGGTTTTAGCCTCCAGGAGGACTTAACCAATAAGAACTTACTCCTTTAGCACTGTGGTTGACTCTCTCAGTCACTCCTTGTTACCCTGAATGGAGTCACACAGGCCTTAAGGTCCTGCCTGTTTAGGGGTTCCTCACACCCTGGCAAGATGGCTCGGGTTCCCCTCAATTGATAGGGCTGATTTGGACAATTTCTTCCCAGAAAAAGAAGGACTTACGGGGTGAAACTGTTGAAAGGTACCTTGCTTTCTAATGATATGGGGGAGGTGAGAGTGCCTATGGATAACTATGTCGACTACGAATTTACTTAATAGGAAAGGGGATACGCCAGTCTACTTAGTGACAATCCTGATTCTATAAATTAAAACAGAGTCCCAATCTAGCTCCTGTGGAATTAGAGGGAAGCCCCTAATTCCAAATACTGGTTAGTAATTAACAAGCCTGCAGGGTTACCCTCCCCTTCCTCTTGCTTCCTCTAAGGGTGAACACCCTCAAATTATGTACTCAGCCTTGTCCTCTCCCTTTCCCCTCCCCTTTTTTCTCCTTTTCACGTGGCTCATGTGGGAATTTGTTTTCCATGATTATACATATTTGTAATTCAGTGACTGAGGAAAGGAGAGGGTGGTGGGAGAGAATTCAGAATGGAAAATAAAAAATATATTTAATTTAGAAAAAAAATAAAGGAGATGGTTTCAGAGAAGCCTGGGAAAACATATGAACTTCACCAAGTGAAGTGAATAGAACCAGGAGAACAATTTATAAAAAATGACAATATCTTAAAGACAAACAGTTTTGAAAGACTTAGGAACACTTATTACTCTAATTACTAACCAGTATTGCAGTGGAATAATGATGAAACATATCAATCTTGATAGAGAGATGAAGCTCATAGAAAGCAGAATGATAAAAAAAATTCTTTTTGGACATGGCCATTGTAGAAATTTATTTTGATTTAATGTCTGTAACATGTTTTGGTTTTCTTTAATTCTCAAGGAGGAAAGGATTAAATACTGGCTAGTAATTAGAGTAATAAGTGTTCCTTGTTACTGGTTAGTAATTTAATGTCCCCCAGCAGAAGCCCCTAAACAGAGCAATGATTTGGTATTATCCCCCTAGTGGGACCCTCAGGGAGAGGGAAGGGGGAAGAGAAAGGAATAAGCATTTATACAAAACCTACTACAGCCAGGCACTGTGCTAAATGCTTTTTACAAATATGTCATTTGGATCCAACCATTTTGGAGAGAAATTTGGAACTATGCCCAAAGGGCTATAAAAATGTACATACCCTTTGACCCAGCAATAGCACTTCCAGGGCTGTATCCCAAAGAGATCATAAAAATGGGAAAAGGACCCACACGTACAAAGATATTTATAGCAGCTCTTTCTGTGGTGGCAAAGAAGTGGAAACTGATGGGATGCCCATCAATCGGGGAATGGCTGAACAAGTTGTGGTATATGAATGTAATGGAATACTACTGTGCTATAAGAAATGATGAGCAGGCAGACTTCAGAAAAACCTGGAAAGACCTATGTGGACTGATGCTAAATAAAGGGAGCAGAACCAAGAAAACACTGTACACAGTAACAGCCACGTTGTGCAATGACTAACTTCGATAGACTTAACCCTTCTCAGCAATGCAAGGATCTAAGACATCTCCAAAAGTCTCACGATGGAAAATGCTGTCCACATCCAGAAAAAGAACTATAGAGTTAGACTGCAGATCGAAGCATGCTATTTGCTCTTTTTTTCCTATTCTGTTTATTTTGTTTCCTCTTTCTTGTGGTTCCTCCTATTGGTTCTAATTCTTCCTTACAACATGACTAACGTGAAAATATGTTTAATAGGAATGGATATGTAGAGCCTATATCAGATTGCATGCTGTCTTGGGGAGGGAGAAAAGAAGGAAGGGGAGAAAAATTTAAAACTCAAAAGCGTATGGAAATGATTGTTGAAAGCTAAAAATAAACTAATTAAAAAAAAATATGTCATTTGATCTTCACAACAACCCTGTGATATGTGTTGTTATTATCCCCACTTTACAGTTCAGGAAACTTAGGCAAACAAGGTTAAGTAACTTGCCAGAGGTCACATAGCTAACAAATGTTTAAGGCTGATTTTTGAACTCAAGTCTTCCTGACTCCAAGTTCAGCACTGCTAGCTGCCTTAGGCTAGCTGCCTAAAACCAGAGGTTTTAGCTGGTAGACAGGGAACACTGAATGGATGGTGGTATAAGAAAAGCCTTGGTATCAACTCATATTCTGTGATAAGCTGCATGGAAGAGGCTTACGATCTCTTAACTACTTCACTACAGATAACCCTGACCCATAACGAAGAATGGTGACTATGTCAGAACTACATCAGCAACTATGCTCCAGACCTGATCATCCTGATGCTGGTCCTGTCATTGTCACAAGTCTAGATAGGGCAAGACCCACTATAAATTACAAAGATTTGGCATTACTCACCACATGGACCAGATTATTTCTTCCAAAGGGAAGAAATGAAACCTGGGATTTCCGGTCTTCATTCTCTTCCATATTTGGTCACTCATTCTTTCATAAGTCCATTAAAGTGAATTGATATGTTTTATTTTGTGTTTCCCATACTGTTGATTTAGTTTTTCTTTTCCTTCTCCAATGCTGGCCAAAAGAAGCTTATGTCCCAACCAAGATTAGGGTTATCCAGTAACTTAAGGCTATTTAAGTGGTAAAAGGTATTCTAGAAGATCCTTAGAATTCTGTCACCATGGGGTGGGATGTAGAAGATACACTATTTACCAGAGTTCCCTGCCATGTAGGAGATGAAGAGCAATCCGTGAACCACAGCCAAATGCTGGCTCTTAACCAACTAGCTTTTCCAAGCTACAGCTAAGTAAATCTTTAGTTAACAGTTAAATGTACTATTGAATAACTGGACTTTTCAGCTAACTCTACTATGCATCTGCTGCCTTGTCTGGTTTCAAATCAAGGAAACCTTCTCTTGGAAGGTAATCTTCTCACCAAGCTGTTAACTCAAGCCGTGACTGACACTACCTCTCTTGGACTCCTCTGACTGAAGGACTAGAGGGTAAAACAACAAACTCCTAAAAAACAAAAAACAAAAAACCCTCCTGCCAATGCCTTCCTTTATAAAGGGCAGAAACAGGACTTTTCAGCTTACAACACATGAACTAAAGATAGCCACTTGCTCCCTGGCTTTTCTGCCTTCTTTTGAGTGTTGTTTCCCCCATTAGATTGTAAGCTCATTGAAGGCAGGGATTGTCTTTCTTTTTATTACTTATATCCCCCTTCACTTAGCAAAGTGCCTCTCACATAGTAGGTGCTTAATCAATGTTTATTGGATTGGACTGAATAATCTACAAATGTTCATTTCATTCCAGTCTGGAAACTAAGCTGCCACGTCTGGCCTATTCAAGAGCCTCTCCCCAGGGAGTGTTAATTAGAAGTTCAAGATTAAAAGAGAAGGTTAAAAAGAAAAGTTATGGGACCAGGTATACAGAAAGCCACAAAAACCTTCACAGACAGGCTGGGTTCATGATGTGCCCAACATGCCCAACTTGCTCAGCTTGGCTAAGCAGCATGTACTATGGTGAACGAAAGAGAAAGGAAGGGAGGGAAGGAGTAGTTACATTACTAACAGGCCATTTGTTAAGGGAACTATCATTCCAGGGAAGTGTATATAGTTAAATTTGATGACATTAAGCAAGACAATATGATGGAACAGTTACAGTAAACACTTTCTCACTTTTCTTTCATAAGATGTCTTTGGAGTAGGAGGAAAATATTATTATCCCAATTATAAATGAGAAAAATAAAGATAAAAACTAATGATTTTCCCAAGGAATAAAAAGCAGGTATAAAGTCTCTTTTCCTTAGGGGAAAAAAAAAGCATTACTCCATTTTTGGCAAACAGTGCTCTTTTAAAATAATAAAGATATCTATAGACACAGTATATTACATGGTATACATAGAAAAAGGAAATTATTTGTGATAAAAAGATAACCTTGTAAGGTTTATTGGTTATCACTCAAATATTTCAATAAATCTTCTGTAGGATGGGATAAGAGGTAAATGTGTGAAAGATCATCATCCATTTTCTAAAGACAATTAACTTATTTCTGTACTATGTATGTTTATTCTTTCCTATATATCTTACAAATCAAATTTCTCAGGACTAAAGTTATTAAACAAGCACATTTTCAAATTTCCCTTTGGGTCTGGATATCAGGAAAGGTACCTTAATGCTTTTTAACAGTACTGGCTAGTTTCAGCTATGATTAAAGCCAAAGGAAAAAAAGTTAAACAAGATGTTCCAATAATTTTCATATGAAAGCCTCTACCATCTAAAACTATAAAAACCTGGCACCACACAGGATCAATTGTTCTCTAGAGATTGCTTTGTATGCCTTCTCAAATTAGTTTTTACCCTTTCTCAAGTTCCTTCTCAGTTACTTCTTCAGCTTTCTACATGGTCTTTCTCATTTTCTGTGACAAAGATTCGAATCTCCTATTTTGTCCTTTAAATAATTAAAAGCAGGCAGTTATTGGAGGAAAAGGTGCATTCCTACTGCTGTTTCAGAAATAAATGCTAATGAATTTATATGCTCAGAATTATTAAGTCTTGATTACCAACTTATAACATATAACAGTGATAGGATGAGACAAAAGAAATTGCTACAGGATAGAAGGGAAGTTCCTCCTATTTGTTCAGAGTTTTCAGTTTCATGAACAGATACAATTTTCTACTTCTGAGCACACACACAGGCAGCTTGGGAAATACAGTCAAAATCTCATGTTTAACAAATATGATTAAAAAATCTAGTTCCATGTAATCACGAGACTCTTCTCATATCCTGGCAGAGAGCTGTTTCTAATTCTGTTTTTATGACACAGCTACAACAAATTGTTTAAATGATAACACCTACAAAATGGATGGTTCTACAAACCCCTGACCATTTAGCCATCAATTTAACAAATATATGTCTTTCTGTTATAGTTCTAAGACATAGTAAACGTATTTGAATATATAATGTAAAGTTTAATATGTTTTTCAAAATGTATTGATAACCTGGAAAGAATATTACATTAAGAGGTAGAGGAGATAAAGAATATTTTCTTTTGGCAATAGTAAGCTCCTGATTATCATGGAGCTATTTGTTCTTGCCTCCCTCATTTCCACCCTCTTTCAACACCCTATGACAGGACATTTGCCTAGAAGGAAAGTAAAAAGACTAAGAAGTCTAACTTATCATTTTAATTAAAGGATAGTTCATGAAACATCACGAGTCTAGAGCATTTAGGGGAGAGGGCAAGGTTTGAGCACAAGATATAGCAGTACTTCATAATATATAAAAGAAAAGAAAGGCAGGGCAGGGACATTAATTACATTAATGATAACAATAACAACTGACATTTATGTGGTATTTTGTTTGCAAAAGAAATAATAACTCTGTGAGCTAGGTATTATCAAAGGCATTAGGATAAGGTAACTAGGATTCTTAGGTTTCAATAGCCTGTACTGAGTAGATAGGGCTAAGAAAAATCCCTAATGAAGTTCTATGTAGCCCAGGAAAAATGAAGCACATAGACTCCCATCATTTATACCACAGCCAAAATAGTATAGGCTCCCAACTCACCCACAAGTTTTGAAAAATATACCCTTTAGTTACAAAATTCTATGACATCTAAAACATTTTTATAAGTATGTTATACAGACACATATATATCTGTATATACATAACGTATATGTGTGTGTGTATATATATATATATATATATATATATATATATATATATATACAGTGGAATTCAAAAACAACTTCCTTTTGCATAGCCAACTCACAATCCCTAATTTGCTACTGTTTGCAAAAAAAAAAATTAACACACACAAATTCTTTATTTTAAAAAAGACACGCTACTCTATAGCGCAAACTTATATTTTCATCAGGGTTCAAGTATAATGAAGCAATTTTAGCCGATAATTAAAATGTAACTTTACCTATACTTAAAATATACCCTATATGTTTGAAACAAATGATAACTTTCAGTTAAAGAAATATTTTGTACATACTTACTTCAAAAATAAAGAGTATACCATCTAATTCTTCCCTTTGAGACTTGTGACCTAAAATGTAATCAAAGAAAACAAACTGAAATATAATCATCACTTAGGAAATTATTCAGTGAGATACATACTACTAGTAAATTTCTATTTCTGTAAGCATTTAGTATTTTTTTTAAAAAACAAACATGGTTTCACTGATTCTGTATTAAAATCGGAAGCTCTGTTTGGTTTTCTAGAAAATGTATATCCCTCCTTCTATCACATGTTGTTGTTGTTCTTTAAAGGAACAATGAAAATCATTGAATAATTTTTTAAAGTCATCCCCAAGTATTAAAGTGGTAGATCGGAGAGTGAGAGACAAAGAAGACAGGAAGACCAGCAAAGAGAAAAGTTAACATTGCCTCAGATGACAGAAATGATAAAACTGCCACCCTAGCTGATGTCTATTTCACAGATACATCTCATTTATTGGTCACAAGTGGAAATTAGGTAAGAAAGGTATAGCTGACAACTGCCAAAAGAAAATAAATCACTTTATCTCAAAACTATAAATCTCAGAGGCAAATTTTATAAGCATCTAAACATGACAATAAAAAGCCTTGAGCTATTTTTTTTTAAGAGTCTTACCTTTCTGTTTAAGACTAACTTCAATGGTCACAAAATTTTCAAAGAACACATAATATATATGTGAAAAATGTTGGTCAAAAAATTGTTTAAGGTCAATAGATTCAGCATTCTCTGTAAATACAAACAAACAAAAAAGATCAATTTGTTTCTATAATCCACAAATTTTAACCATTAATTAGCACATATTCTATGGAATAGGATCTTAAAAAGATGCTAATTTTCTTTCAATGAAAAAGTCAAAGCTTTCTTCTCCCAATTAAAGTTACATATTGTTTAATATGGTTTGAAGTCAAGTTTTATTTGCCTTTATTTTAAATTCATGTTTTCACCAATATGATATTTGCAAGAACATAAGTGAAATTATCCTTATTTCACACAAAAAGAAAACAGACTTGAAAGATTACAGCTTATCCAGAAATATTTATTAAACAACGAACAGAGAAAATCAACTGGAAATTATGCTAAAGTGATTAAAATATCCATCTTCGACCCAGAGATCCTACTGTTAATATGCCACAAGGAGTTAAAAGACTAAAAGCTCCCATAAACACTGAAATATTCATAGCAGCACTTTTTGTGGTAGCTAAGAACTTGAAGAAAAGCAGATACCCACTGACTGGGAAAATGGCTAAACTAATTGTGGAATGTTACTGCATCATAAGAATTCAGAGATGGCATAGAAAGACTTAAATGAACTAATGCAAAATGAATTGAACATTAACCAGGAAAGCAGCATACAAAATGACTACAACAATGTAAATGGAAAGAACAACATTAACAAAGGAAACTATGATGACCAGGCTTAGCGCCAGAAAAAATTCACTTTTCTCCCCATTTCTTATAGAGGCATAATCTATATTATGGGAACTTGACCATTTTCAGAGGTGAATCAAACTTTTTTTTTTTTGGTAAGGCAATTAGGGTCAAGTGACTTGCCCAGGGTCACACAGCTAGTAAGTGTCAAGTGCCTGGTCTGAGACTGGATTTGAACTTAGGTCCTCCTGACTTCAGGACCAGTGCTCTATCCACTGCACCACCTAGCTGCCCCATGAATCTAACTTTTAATGAGTAAATTAACTCAACCAAAGTATAATCAAAAGCATGAAAAACAAAAATGTCAATAGCTTCAAAAGAAGACTATCAAGTTAGCTCTAATTTGGGGTAAGTGGCACAAAACAAACCCCACAGAAAGGTACTGGAGACAAATATGTTGAGAGCATTAAGTTCACTTTTAAAGAGAAGACAGTTTAACTAGCTCTCACCGGGGCAGAAGTGTGTTTATTCTACTTAGTTCAAATGATAGCAAATGGCTCTGAAGTGAGTTTTTTTTAAGTATCCCTAACCGGTATTCTCCAAGTCCATCTACTCACTTAAAGATAGATTAATCTAATGTGCTAACTTGTTCTCCACACAATTAAAATTGTCCTCTGTGTAAATTGATACATTTCATTTCCTCAGCCCATCATAAAACTACCTAGCAGGTGGAAGCATACCTGGACAGATCCTGGACAGTTTTCCGTAACCGGCTAAAAATATACTTTGTCCTTAGGTCTAACAAAAGCACCATCTCTCTCTCTCCCGATCCCTATGAAGATGAATCTCTGGCTACTTAAGAATAAACCAACTCAGGGGGCAGTTAGGTAGCATAGTGGATAGAGCACCCACCCTGGAGTCAGGAGGACCTGAGTAAGCCAACCCTCAAGTCCCCAACTTTCATCTCCTTTTCTCTCATTCTGTTAACATGAGTCCTACTCTTCCCATGTCCCACACTCCAGTTCTGCCCACCACTTCCACTATGCCTTCAGAAACTCCCATTTCCATGAATAACAAACTTCCCTTCCTTTTAAACTTCTTCCTCTCTAGCTTCTTCCACCTTCTTGCACTTACTGAGACCTAGGCTCCTCCTAAATGACAACATGTCCCTAGTCACCCAACTTTGTCACAGCAGAGGAGATTGCTTAGCTTAATGATACTATGAGCTATGCCATGCAGGGTACCCAAAATGGACAGGTTATAGCGTAGAGTTCTGACAAAAGGTGATCCACTGGAGAAGGAAATGGCAAACTACTCCAGTATCTTTGCCAAGAAAATCCCATGGACGTTACTAAATTGATAAAAGAGGTGACATCAGAAAATAAGAACCTCAGGTTGGAAGGTGTTCAATACACTACTAGGGAAGAGTGGAGGACAAATACAAATAGCTCAAGTATTAATGAAGTGGCTGAGCCAAAGCCAAAAGGAAGCTCAGTTGCAGCTGCATCAGGTGACAAAAGTCCAATACTGTAAAGATCAATATTGCAAAGGAACCTGGAGTGTAAGAGCTATGAAGCAAGGTAAACTGGATGTGGTCAAACAGGAGATGAAAAGATTAAACATCAACATCTTAAGTGTCAGTGAACTTAAATGAAAAGGCATGGGTGAATTTAATTCAAGATGATCTTTACATATACTACTGTGGGCAAGAATCCTTAGAAGAAATGGAGTAGCCTTCATCGCCTATAAGAGTGAAAAAAGTAGTACTAGAGTATAATCTCAAAAATGACAGAATGACCTCAAGGCAAGCCATTCAATATCAAATTAATACAAGTCTATGCTCCAACCACTGATGCCAAAGAGGCCAAAGTTGACCAGTTCTATGAAGACCTACAACATCTTTCAGAAGCAACATCTAAAGAGATATCACATTTATCGTAAGGAACTGGAATGCTAAAGTTGAAAATCAAAAGATAATTCAAATAACAGGCAAATTTGGCCATGGAGTACAAAATTAAGCAGGGCAGAGACCAATAGAGTTCTGTCAACATAACTCCTATGTCATAGCAAACACTTTTTCAACATCCCAAAAGGAGACCACACATGGACATCATCAGATGGTCAATATCAAAATCAAATTGATTATATACTTTGCAGTCAGAGAAGCTCTATAGAGTCACTTAAAACAAGACCTAGAGCCTGACTCATGAGCTTCTTGTTGCAAAATTCAGACCATAATTTTGAAGAAATTAGGGAAAACCATCAGACCATAAAGGCATGATCTAAAGAATATCCCTTATGAATATGAAGTAGAGGTGATGAATAGATTTAAGGAATTAGATGTGCTAGACAGGGTACCTCACGAACTATGGACAGAGATGCACAATATTGTACAGGAGACAACAACAAAAAACATTCCAAAGAAAAAGAAGAGCAAGAAAGCAAAATGGCTATGTGAGGAGGCTTTACAAACAGCTGAGGAAAGAAGGAAAGGAAAAGATACTCACAGAATACAGAATTACAGATAATAGCAAGGAAAGATAAAGTTTTCTTAAATAAGCAAGGCAAAGAAATAGAAGAAAAGAACAGAATAGGAAAGATAAGAGATCTCTTCAAGAAAATTAGAGGTATTCATGCAAAAATGGGTGTGAAATCTTAACTGATATCACAGATAACCACAAGAGTAAGAATGAAGTCAAATGGGCCTTAGGAAGCACTACTAACAATAAGGCTAGTGGAGGTGATGGAATTCCAGCTGAGCTATTTAAAATCCTAAAAGATGATGCTGTTAAAGTGCTATACTCAATATGCCAGCAATTTGGAAAACTCAACAGTGGCCACTGGAATGGAAAAGATCAGTTTACATCCCAATTCTAAGGAAGGGCTATGCCAAGGAATGTTCCAATTACTGAACAATTGCATTTATTTCACATTCCAGCAAGTTTATGCTTAAGATTTTGCAAGCCAGGCTTCAGTAATATGTGAATTGAGGATTACCAGAAGAGCAAGGCTGTTTTTAAAGAGGCAGAGAAACTAGAGACCAAATTGCAAACATTCACTGGATTATGGAGACACCAAGAGAATTCCAGAAAAACATCTATTTCTACCTCATTGACTATACTAAAGCCTTTCATTACATGGATCACAACAAAATGCAGCAAGTCCTCAAAAGGATTAGAGTGCCAGATCATCTTACTTCTCTGCTGAGTAAACTCTGTGTGGGCCAAAAAGCAACAGTTAGAACCAAACATGTAACAAGTGACTGGTTTCAGATTGGAAAAGGAGTACAATAATGCTGCATACTGTCACCTCATCTAACTTATATGCAGAGTAGATCATGCAAAATGTCAGGCTGCATGAATCAAAAACCAAAATTAAGGTTGTGGAAATACCAACAATCTCAGATAAGCAGATGATATCACTCTGATGGCAGAAAGTGAAGAGGAATTAAGAAGCCTCTTGATGAGGATGAAAGAGGCCAGAGTATAAAAGCTGGCTTGAAGCTCAACATAAAAAACACAAAGATGCTGGGCAACTGGTCCCATCACATCCTGGCAAAAAGAGGAAGAAAAAATGGAAATGGAAACAGCATCAGATTTTATATTCCTGGGCTCAAAGATCACTGAGATGGTAACTGCAGCCATGAAATTTTAAGATGCTTGCTCCTTGGAAGTAAAGCTATGGCAAATATGGACAGCATATTAAAAAGCAGAGACATCAACTTGATGACAAAGGTCTGTACAATCAAAGCTATAGTTTTTCCAGTAGCATTGTATGGATATAAGAGTTGAACTAAAAGGAAATCTGAGCACTGTAGAATTGATACTTTTGAATTGTGGTGATGGGGAAGACTTTTGAGAGTCCCTTGGGACACCAAAGAGATCAGTCAATACTTAAAGAAATTAATTCAGGCTATTCACTGGAAGGTCGAAGCTTAAATACTCTGGCCACATAATGAGAAGATGGGACTCAATGGAAAAGACCTTGATGTTGAGAAAGACTGATGTTAAAATGAGAAAGGGATGGCAGAGGATGGGATGGATAATGTCATGGAAACAATAAACATGAACTTGGACAGACTTTGAGAGATAGTGGAGGACAGAAGGGTTCATGAGTCACAAAGAATCAGACAAAAGTGAATGGCTGAACAATAAACAACAAACAACAAAATAACAATTCCCAAAAATAGCTGTTCTTTTCTCTCTTACTACCCTCCCATCCACCACATAGACACAAGATCCTGGAAGGCAAGTCAGAATACTCCTTGCTTACCATTGGCATTTCCAGTTTCTCTTTGCTGCCATCACATGTTAACTTCTCATCGTCTGAGGTCCCCTCCATTCCAATTTGTTACCCAA